AAATTCTGATATTTCTATAAACAATTTTATTAACATCTGCTTCTGACTAATTCAATGTTTGACAGACTTATCCACAATTAGCAGTTGGTAGAATACATTTCCTAGTTTGCTAATTTTCCTGCTGCACAAAGTTTGAAATCGCATATGCGGAAAGAAACATGGAAAAAGCGACGCGGTCTCAAAAACGAGCCGCCATTACGGACAACGGGTTTTTCAGCGCAGTTTTGGAAAGCGATTAGTCAACATTGTTCCCGGGGCATAGTTGCTGCTGGCCAGGCTGGCGCCGGGACGTAACGAGCTCTCGTGACAAAAAACCTCTTGAAGCGTCGAATGTCTCCCGTTCCGGTAGCGTCATTCATCATCGCGGCTACCGGCCACGCCATTAAACCATGCCAAACGATCGCCCCGTAGGACAATGGGAGGTCGGCGCGGGTCGTGGCTTTCGAACGAGGCAAAAAAAAACCAGAGACAAGTGGAAGGAACAGGCTGATACGGACAAATGACTTCGTATGATGACAATCATAAAACGAATCGCTGATGGCGATGAGGTTAGTTAAGAAATATGTGTTTTGAACGAGAGTAAATAAAGCTGAAATGTATATTGGATTGTCGGAGCGAGTCAATTTTATTCTAATTTTTTTCAATTGAGATAATCTTTAAAGCTCATTAATTTGGAATACGTATGAGATTTTCTGATGAACAATAAACGCTTGGAAGTGCCTTAAGAACGGGGGTGTAATTTGCACGTTGAGTTGCGGCGAAGAAAACAGACGAAACGATCCTTTATCGGGAAGTCGAGCAGCAGTGCGAAGGGCGATGGAATTAATTTTGAACGTCGTCGGCCAGTATAAACACGAAGGGTCGAAGGGCGCCCGGGGCGATGGATAGACGATGGGTACCGAGGACCTGTCGCTACGCTCCTGCTCCACTCTCTACGGATTACGAGTGTTTTCTTAACGCAGTGGTCCTCTCCGGGTGGCAATTTGTATTCGAGATAAACCGTTATTGATGCCGCCGATATTTCTCAGTCTTATAAAATAGATGCCGCTGCCCCTGGAGAGCCACTCCGGATGCTTCAACGGAAAAGAGGGTGGCGGAAGAAAAAGTTGCCGCATTTTCGCGCTACGTGGCAAACCGTACAATAGATGAAAATACAAGTGACCCGGCTTGTAGCGACGAATGACAATTTATGATGAAAACTTTGAGATCGGCCGCGGCACCATCGGCCCGGACTTAACTCGGACTGACACACTCTTCACTAAGTTTCTTCCGTGGTATCCACTGGGGCTATGATTCAGAAATGAAACAGGTATTTGTCACCGACGCAGTAAAATCACGTGAGAAATGCGTCTCGAAAGTCTCGAGGTCACCGACGGTTCATGAAACTTTGAGAAATTATTTGAAATATTTTTATGTGTTTTTAATATCAATCTTACGACCCTTATTCCACGAAGAGTTGATGACATTGGCAATAAAATGTAATGTATGCATGCAGGAGAACGATATCAGTGTGCTACTTCGCAAGTCTCGATAAGATTTTCCCCCAGACACCATTTACCACTTTGTTCGCTACAATTCTGCAGCAATTAAGATACATGTACCGTATAACTAACTTAGATCTATAAAAAGTGTGTTTCAAATTTTTATCAGAGACCCGGATAAGAAAGTTATAAATCATGTCCTTTAAATTTCTCCTCAAGACTTCGATGAATAGCAATTTCTATTAAATTTTTTGTTACACATTGTATAGTAAAATTTTCTAAAATCCCAAAGGAAATTAAGTTGCTCGGTCCAATATTTAAAAAATTGTTCAGGCTTGGACGAATATTAATGAGAGTGACTAGGTATATGATTAATAAATAAGAAAAGAGTGTCTGGATCGGAATAATTTATAACGTGAAACCAGTGGCGCACGACATCGGATCGTGGCACGCGAACCTCAAATTAGAACACGAAAAAGGAATTATCCCTTAACCGACGAGAAGAAAGATCACCGATAATATACTCCCAGTTCCACCCTAGACATTAACGCGATCTCCTCTTAACGGGGTCGTTCCGTGCGGCGATAATTCTTATTTTTCCCTCACGGTTTGTCACCGGCGGCGCGATGGTCCCGTACGGGCAGACCATAAAGGCCGGCTACAACGGAATGGAATGGCTAAGCTGTAAATACCTCGACACGAGCGAACATCCCCCGTAAGTCGCAATAAACCGTGCCGAGAAGTCCACAATGTGTTCAACGTGGAGCCTAGCCGAATTCCCATCGGGAAACAATACGCGGAATGTCGCACGTGTTTCTACACTACCGTAGGTATCAGGAGGCCTGCCATGTTAATGCGATGTGCGATGAACAAATTTTTTTATATTTTCGAGGTCGATTCTTCGCCTGATAAATCAACTACTATTATATTAACTACATCTGACCCTTATTTTTTTTATTATTATTTGGAATCTCGTATGAGATTCACTTAACTGTACATGAGGATACAAAAACAGAATAAGTTTTCTTTTTCTATTATTTCATCTTGAATCTTTAAATTATCCTTATTAAGAAATGTATATAGACATAAACGAATTTTTGAATTAGGAGAAGGAATGAACATTCCAACACATAAAAGGGAATTTTTAAATTTCTGTAATTGACTTTCCTTTTACACGGTGAAAGCGTACCGAGTGAGAGAAAATCTTGTGAAGAAGTCCGAATACTAATTAGCAAAAATATATAGCACTTATTTTAAAGAACGCGAACCATACAAAAAGTAATTTAAAACATAGTAATGCAGTTTCTACGTTTAATTACAGCATTTTATATAATTATTGCATAATGGATAGGTGTATTCTAAAAACTATTATAATATAGGAAATATTTTATCAATTATTGTATTATTCATTATGAGATATTGGATCAGTATTATCAATTTTAGTGTCAACTGTTATATGAAACATTGTGTGAAATAAAAATGGCCAACGGGATAAGGTAACACTCGAAGATCCCTTTTAGGATAAACCACCGCGTACTCCTTATTTCGGGGATCTTAAGCGGGGATCCCCTCCGATTTTATATCGCACCCCCGAGCGAGGATATTGGATTACAGTGATTTTCAATTATGAGCACGGGCTGTATAACAAGAACAAAAACGAGAGGCATGCCCGGCCAGATCGAGCGTCGGCGGGCAAAAAATAGAAAAACTAGCTAACGGTTTAATCGAGGCTGCCCTCGAGTCGCAATCGCGCGATTCCCGAGAGCGCGTGCATTTTTTCCCCGCGAACACGGCCGGCTTTTATTAAAATTTGTATCGACGCTCTCGGGCTTCCACGAAATGAAATTTCGTTGCCGAAGGAGATCGAGGGCAACGATCCTTTTTTCCCTCTTCCTCGGAGACGATTTTCTCATTAAATTTTCGATGAGTAATTGTGGGAGATAGTCGTAAGTAACGAGGGTTGATAAATTCGTACGCTGACGAGTTTCAGCAGGAGGTTCGATATCGGACGAGCAGGTGATAAAGAGAACGGCCGGGAAGATAAGGTACGTCTTCTCGCGAAAAACTTCTCGTACGGGGGTGAACTACCCTCATTCGCGGAATCCTCCGAGTTTACTCGACTTTCGCAGGGTGGCAGCACCCTCCAAACTCGCACCTCATATGCCCGCGTGGCCCTCAGCCGATGGATGTACGCACGTTTTAACGACAATCGATACACAGTCTACATCATTAATTCACAGACATCCCTTGTAGATTTAATTAACACTAGAACTACCACCGATTGACGTGTACCTATTTCTACCCTTTCAAAATTAATTGTTTTTCAAATTAATATGTCATTAGAAAAAACAGCAATTTTTACGTTTTTACGAGTGAAGATTGAATAATAAACTGATAATGATAATAATAATAATTTTCAAAATAATTACGTTCTTAATCTACGTTCCGTGGGGGTGAAAATGACTCATCTCGGTATATGAAGGTATACTGTATAAAATTGTACATCAAAAAGACAATAAATAAGAAAACTATTTTACAGAATTAGTTACTTGCATATTTTAGACATTTATCAAAAATACATAAAAATAGAAATGCTGAATTTAATACAAGGAATCATAGAAAATATAAAAAATGAATGTTCATGGTTAAACGATTAAACAGACTTGAATCTAAAATGCAGTGTTTAATTGACCAACCGTTTTATTGCGCATGAAAATTCGCAGTCTAATTATTGGGAGCGATCGATCCGGGCATCAATCGGGCGGGCGGTTCGTTTCGAAATTTCGCGCGACGTTAAGTAATATTGCCTCGCGAAACCGGGTCAACGACTTCAATGGTAGCAAACGTTGCCGTGATAGATTAAAAACGAAGGGAAATGGACGGTTAACGTTCAATAAATAAAAAACTGGGAAGTAAGTCGGAGGCTTCTTGTCACTCGAGTATCGAGGGTCGACAGCGTGTTCACCCCTCGATACTCAGCTGTAAACATTCAATTTGTCCGGTGTCTCCTTTCAGGAGAATTGTAAGCTCGGACAGACGAAACTTAACGCTGACGTCGCTCTATTTCGTAAGATGATCCGTCACTGTTATTCCTCAATTGTTGCACCCCCTCGATGTTTCACATGACACATTTTATCAATCTCCTTTTACAAATTACAATGCAGCTAATCATTCGCAAGTTTCAATTCGTCAGCATCAATTTTTAAGAACGTTAAATACGTTCAATAACGAGACTATAAATCGTTATCGGGGCACGCGTGAAACGTTTCGCGTGTCTTGTCTGGCGACTTTCCCCGGGCGCTCTGTAAAACAACGGCGTCGGCGCGGCCGTTACACGAAACATCGTGTCGCCCGTTGCTCTGGCCGCGACTCGATAAATTATTTCGAACCACGACTACTTGTCGCACGTTACAGCTACAACGGCTCCTGCCAACACGGTGGCCGATCATTACCGAGCATGCCCGATCGCGATTACCAGCCCCGGGTATTAAAATAATGGCAATCATTATCGCAGTTGGCCGCCGCGGGACACCGAGATACTATGTCCTTGGCCACGATCTCCGCCGTCCCGGTCTGGCCCCCTGTCAAATTTGCGGCTGGGTCCAAGGTAAGTGCAATTATGCTAATCAAATCAAGGAGGGCAAGATGCCCGAAGAGCCGCGGCGGACATGGGAACGTAATGAGAGGTTACATCGCCGAGGGGCCGGAGTGCCAGTATTAGTTGAGGCTAACCTCAAGGTTCCGGGCTAGAGAAGGAGGGATCGGACTGGTCAGACGGTAGATCGCGCCAGTAGAAATGGTCAGGTTTCTTGATCCGGATCTGCGAACGAGGTGAGAGCCAACGCCCTGCTTCCTGTTTTCGAATCATGCAACAACCTACAGTAATCTCTTCAGGACCAGGTTTGGTCATATATCCAGAGGGGTGCATTTCTTATACTCGTTTCTCGAGTGCATAGTATAGAAAAAGTAAACAGTACCCACTGTGCGACAACGATCGAGAGTGAAGAAGAATAAGTATAGATAAAACTCGATGCTAGCAAAAAATGTTTGAAACAAAAATTATTGGCAATAGTAACAATTACAAATAATGTTCTGTACAGTTTTATTGTAACTCTAATATTTTTCGAGTAATCGTCAGTAGTACGAAACTGATTCGTCAAAGAGAAAAGGAATAAATATAGATAAGATTCGAGGCTCGCGTCGGGCGAGCACTTCGAAGGATTGGTGGGGATGACTTGTGGCAATATATCCGGAGATTACTGTAATTTAAATGAAGGATCCACCGATTCCTCTTTCTCTTCCCATGTCGGTAAACATCGAGGGGAACTCGTTCCTTGATCGATTGCCAAATTCAAGGGAGTTCGTTGAAAATTGCGAAACACGTTATCGAACATCATCGGTAGGCGCACCTGGTCCCCCATTAGAAGACCGGTCGATCCTTTCCCGACGGCGAGCGAGTTTTTGCTTGGAAGAACGCACGCTGGAATTCTAAGTTGGATGCGAATTCCACGGATCCACCTGTTCACTCCGAACCATCCTTCGACTCCGGACAACAGTCGAATATCCCAAGAATGGTAGTTCGGTTCGTACGTTTTATGAAATAATTCAAGCACTTGTTCAGATTCGTAGGACATCGTTCTGTCACAATTTCTACTCACTGGCATATTTTTTTATAATTTTATATTACTTTAGAATTATAGAAAAACACGCCAGTGAATAGAATTTCGTATGTTAGCTTGAAATTATAAAAAAAATAAGCTAGTGAGTAGAAATGGTGAACAAAAATTGGGACATTTACTTTACAGTAGATTATTGGTTCCTGTTAATTGGTCATGTTGGCACGCTCGGATGGGCAGCGCAGTGCGCGCGGCTCGTACGTGGCTCGTTGGCGCAATCAAGGGTCGAGAGGAAAGGGCAAAGAAGAAAGTACCGGCGTTTCGAGTGGCAATATAATACAGCCGCGAAACAATGGAGCACCATGTACGCTCGGCCACCAGGGCAATAAAACCACGAGCACGGGTGGCGTACAAGCCAAGAGGGCCGTAGGAACTTCCGCGGCGGATGAGGGATAGAAAATTAAATATTAATTTCGTTCGCTTGGCTGCCGGAGAAAAGCTCATCGCGCATGCCTCCGGCCCTCTGACCGGTCGAATCGTCCCTTCTAACCGCCTCGCTCACCTACGACCCCCCGCTTTTCATTCCCGATTCGAAAAGGTAAAACTCATCCGGTGGCTCAGCCGGATCTGGGCAGATTATTTTCGTCTGAATTCGGAATCAAATTAACCTCTGCCTTTGCATAAATTATTTCACCTCTCCGCTGCTATTTTCTCGGCTGAGAAAAACGTCGTCCAGCTATCTCTACGCCAACCAATCAAACGCAGACCAAGGAGGAAGCTTCGCGAAAATGTAAAACGGTTGAGACTAAGAATTACACGCTGCTACTGTTTTTACCGTAACTACCCCATAATCCCATCCACGTTGGAACGAAATGTCCGAGCGTTTTTCCTCTTTCTTATGATAAAATACTGATCACTAAACTAATATTAAGGTTTTCAAAGAATTTTCAGGTTCTAGTGATGTTATTACATGACAATTATATTCATTCATTTGAAGTATAAATTATTGAAACTATTCATAATTTATCGTATGGATTTACAGAACTGAAGCGATTCCTGAGCCACTTGGCATGCACACATGCAAGGATTAAATTAATAAAGTGCTATGAATATTTTTCGTCGGTTCGACGTTGACAATTTGAGGAATGTAATTTTATCCTATTTTGATTTAATCTAATTTATTTACAGACGTGTAAAAAACCTAAATTCTGAATTAAATATCTTGAATTAAGCTTCAGATTTCAAATCTTGACGAATACAATGACAGAATGATATGAGACAGGATATGTAGAGTAATAATATTTCGTGTAATAATATTTGAACACGATTGCAATGCAAATAAAAAAACCTTAATTTAAAATTCTAGCTAAAAATTTGCTGGCTTGCGGTTTATCTCAAAGCCTTTGAATTTTTCTGAAACCTACAGGAATTCTTATATTTCAAGTTCCACTGCACAGGTTTTGATGAAACACGACTCAAATTAAAGCTAGACATCCTAGAAATATAAATTCTTCAGAAAATGTTAAAATCGTTATCTTGTAAAATATTTTGTCTAGTCACTATAAAGAAAATTGTCATAATAAAAATTTGATCTCTACACGTGTGCAAATGAATCATTTTGAGTAGTATATATCTAGCTTTATTGTGCAATAATCAGTTAATTTAACTCTTACAATTGTCTTGTGCGAATAATTAGTTATTACTTTACCATTTTATTTACTTATGTTAATATATTTATACATGTACAGTTTTAATTCTTAATATCAAGTAATCCTATTTACTCCATTTATAATTCAATATTTGGTTACGATTATGCTATTTAAAGATTCACTGAAACTTTTCAATTATGGCAATCTATGAGGATTGCTAATTTTGAATGTTTAATTTTTTGATAGACACAAGCAAGGTAGACAAATTACATTAATTCGCTTGACTCCCCCGTATGTTCGTGACAGTTTGATAAAACTAACATTCGCAAATGGGTAACCACGCTTTACTCCGCAATAACTAGCCTGTATAAGCGTGCAGTCCTCAGCTTTGGGCGATGCTATTCGATCGACTATCATCAGGATAGAAGCGCACGCTCGGTAACACGTCCGAATTCCGAGTGTTGCGACATAAATTCCCCGTATGCGTAGAATGCGCTCGACGAGGGAGGGAGGGGAAAAACAAAAAACGCGCCGGGTCAGCGAATGTTTCCTGCACGCAGCGCGCGACGCCGGGGCAATGAGGGGCCGCAGAGGGGAACGGGTCGACGACGGAAATGCAAAAGTTCGATTTATGCGCCAGCACATTGACCAGTACATATGTATGTACGCGCATATGCGGACACGTGTACACGCGGGACAGCGCGTTTCACACGTGCGACACCAGATTCAATGATGGATTAACAGCAGCCAGTTGAAAAAAAATAGGTAAAATACTGTTCCGCGCATTAGATATCATGTTGCGTTTTTATAATGATTTATTCTTCGATGAGAATTCATTTACCATTCGCATAGCGAATTGCGATCGCATAATAATTCAGGTATCATACATGAGCTCTGCTCTATATCTTCTTTATGGATTAAATGACACAGTGGAACGGCCTCCATACGTGTGCATGTGGATTGATATGTGTACAGGTATAGTACAGAATACAGATCTCGCTTGCATATCAAGGGATGAAGCGTGAACGATGATGCATGGTCGTTCCGCATGCGCCCCGAAAGCTCTCTGTCCCTTTTCTGTTCACGCCTTTTTTTAAACTCACCCCCATACGCCCCCTCGCCCGACCAGGTTCCTATCAATGTTTCACAGATCGCGTGATACGGTACGAAAAAGTGTGCCCGAATTCCGAGACCGATAGCGCGTACCCCCATGAACGGTGCACCTGCATCGCCATAAACTATACCGTGGGGTGGGTTCATCGGGGGTGATGCATTGTACGCGAGGTATCTATCGGCGTCAATGTTCTACGCCACTCGCGGATATCTAATATCCGGACGAGCCGCGGATTCGGGATTTATAAGCCGAAGATGTTCGATTTTTAAGTCCTCGGGTGTTTCAGGATGTATGTATTCTCGTACGAAGGGATTAGCTCGTCTTCTGATTAAACGACTGAGAAAACAGTAAACATTCTGGATATATATATTGGATTGCCCGTAAAAATTGTAGCTAATTGCATTAACTGCTCAGTAGGGAGGATGAAATGATTCAGTAAATGGGTTTCTACGAAACGTACAATGCATTTAACGTTAGCGTCGAACGTGCGACGCGTACGCGGAACACGGAAACAGCGTACCAGCCAAATGAAAGCTTTCAATGTAATAAATACACAATTCCGTATATTGGCCGATAAGAGATAATTTTAAAATATTAAATAATTAACGTACACACGGTGAACACGCCGGCGCTGTGAAACGTGAAAGGATATACGTATAATTAAGAAGAACGCGGGTAGATATGAATAAAATGTTTAAACGAACTTGGATTCGTTGTGTTGAGCGGAATTCTCGTTGGAAAATGCCGGCCGATGCGCAGCGATCCGTCTTAATAGTCTCACACTTCTAGCGGCAACATTTGTTTCACAGTCATGAAGCTACACGGTCCAAAGCATCAGTTTACACGTACCGCAGCAACGTACTCCACAAAAGCACTATATTCACGCCAGTTTTAGCCGCGTTACCCTATATAGAGAAAGATACTTGGACCGGATTGAAAATAAATTTCACTGAAAACGTAACAAATACGAATAGCCCAGCAGCAATTTATGGAACGCTCTATTGCCACGTAGAACGCCGGTTTCATTATCATTCCATCCTAAATCATCCACGTATTATTATTAAATAATGAATACTTGTTTTCACCAGCCAGCTTTAAATTAATATTGCAAGTAATCAATATACATCAAGAGTAATTGGAATGAGATGGGTTATATGAAACAAAAAGGAAAAATAGCAGGTATTAAGAGAATATCCATCCTAAATTATTTGCATATTATTATTGAGTAATGAATCCCTGTTATGATGTTTATCATCAAGCATTTTTAAATTGATATTGCGAGTAATCAATGTGCAGCAAGAGTAATTGGAATGAGATGGGTTATATGAAACAAAAAGGAAAAATATCAGGTATTAAGAAAATA